AAAGAAAATGAAATAGGACCTTTTGTTTTCAGACACATAAAAACTACAGAACTTAACACCAGCATTTCCACATTAAAAAAATACCAAAAGTATTCTTCTGACAGAAGGAAATGATCCATGAAGGAAGACTAGAGATACAGGAAAGAATGAAAAGAAATAAATAGGTAAATATAGAGGATTGTTGACTACATAAAACAATAGTAAGATCTAGTGAGGTTTAAAATGTTTAATAAACTAAAATACATGAAAATAGCTTACAAATTGGAAGGGGGAAATGGAGTTAAGATGTTCTAAGGTCTTTGTATTTTCCAGGAAAGGGCATGCAATGGACTAAATGTTTGTGTTTCCTTCTACCCCCAAGTTCATATATTGAAATCCTAACGCCAATGCGATGGTATTAGCAGATAATTAGGTCATAAAAATGGGGCCCTCCTGAATGGAATTAGTACTCTTATAAAAGGGACCCCAGAGAGCTCCCTAATCCCCTCTTTACCATGTGAAGACACAACAAGAAGTCAGTAGTCTGCAGCCTGGAAGAGGGCTCCCACTAGAACCCAACCATGCTGGCGCCCTGATCTCAGACTTCCAGCCTCCATAACTAGAAGAAGAAATAAATTCTGTTAAATAAATTTCTATTGTTTATAAGGCACTCTGTCTGTGGGACTTTGCTACAGTGCATCCAAACTGATGAAGACGGGAAAAAGGAAATTTCAATTAAAATTAGATTTTGAGGACTTCTGATGTTGACTAAGATGGAGTATTTCTACTATGGACTATCTCTGTTTTATTGCAACAAAATAATGTGGGCAGAATAGCAAAAGCAAGTACCAGAGAACTTTGAAAAAGCATCGGACAAAATTAAATACATGTTCAGTAAAATAAGACAAAACAAAAACACAAAAAACCTCCCAGCCGATTAGGAATAAAAGGGAAATTCCTTAATAAAGGGCACCTACAAAAAAAATCTGCAGCTAACATCATGCTTACCGATGAAATATTGAATGCTTTCCCCCTATAACCCAGAAATCCAAGTCCTGGTTGTCTATCTGAGTTGTAAGTTAATGGTCACACAAAAGTATGTATGTGAATGCTTATAGCAACTTTATTTAAAACTATCAAACTGGAAACAACCCAGATGTTCTTCAACAGGCGAATGGATAGACAAACTGTGGTATGTCCATACAATAGATTACTATTCAGAAATAAAAAGGAGAGAATTATTGATACACATAACAACATGGATGAACTCAAGTGCACTTTGCTAAGTGAAAAATCCAAAAGTCTGTACATTGTATGATTCCATTTATACAATATTCTTAAAAAGGTCAAACTAGAGAGATGAAAAGTAGGTCAGTGTTTGATAAAGGATGGATTTGAGAGAAGAGGTGACTATAAAAGGATAGAACAAGGGAGTTTTGGGGATGATGGTACTAACCTGCTTTCCATCCTGATAGATTCTCTCCCCCTCTACAGGGCTTTCTGGTATTGATTGTTGAGGACTGCAGTTGTCCATTTGTTTAGTGACTCTTCCAAACTATTTTTTGTAAAGATTGTATTCCTTGTCATGTATGCTCACTGAAGTCTCTGTTCTGTTATCTCAGCAGTCAGCTAGTGACTGGAAGATATTTCCTTAAATGTCTGGAGACAAAAAGAAAAATACTTCTTTGGTCTTTGCCATATTGGCTCTGAGCTAGGATTTTCCTTAAATGTTAAGCCAAGTTGATCACAACTCTGCCTTAGCCTTCACCTTTTGCTTATTGTGGAGTATAAATATCAGCCAGAGGTATAAGTCTAGGGTCTTTTCACATCTTTTCGGAGCATGCATCTGGCCATGCTCATGCGTATTGTACTGGTACCAGGTTCCCCAGTGTGCTCAGTAGTCCGTCACAGCTCTTATTCTCCCAAGAATTTTCCTCCTCATACTGAGGCTTTTGGGTCTGTCTGCCTCATCCTTTGTTCCTTGCCCCAGGCAGCAATAGGTAGCATATATCTGTAAATGCTTCCATCAGATGCCACCCAGAAAGCCATTCCAAACCTGATGGGGGCAATGTAAAGGTCAGTTTCTGTGCTAGTCCTTTAGGGAAACACCAGACAGGTAAAATGCATGATCCCAATTTTTGAGAACAGTCTGTACTGCTTCCCCTGATGCCTGTAAGCTGTCCCAGGAAAACAGGTCATTGTTCACAAGGCCGATGCTAGCTGGGGAATAGTGAATGCTAGTCAGGTAAGCAAAAACCACATAATATTTCTTACCAAAATCAGCTACCTCTTTCTTCATTAGGCACTCCCTGGTTGACGCAAATGTCTGATTAGACTCCAGAGTTCCAAAGAAGTTGATTCTGTCTGTTTTCACCAGCTTAATTCTTGCTGGGGAAACCAATTCTTGCAATGGACCAATTCTTGGAGCTCCTTACACTGCCAATTCCATGTCACTTCTGTTCCAAGTACTCTGAAAAGTTTGGCACTATGTAGTAAATCTAAAGATACACACACCAGCAATTCTGCTCCTTGTTATTCACCCTAGAGCCGTGAGTCTTAATTGGGGCAATTTTGCCTTTCCAGTAAAACTTGGGAATACCTGGAGACATTTTTGTTTTTCACAAGTGGGTGCGTGCCACGGGCATATAGCGGGTTAAAAGCCATGAATGCTGCTAAACATCCTATAATACATAGGGTAGACTCCTCCCCAACACCCACCTAAAACAAAGAATTTTCTGGCCTTAAGTGTCAAAATTGCCAAGGTTGAAAAACTCTCACCTAGAGAAAATGAGTGCTCATATGCACAAGGAGAATGCTCATAGCTGCATTGTGTACAATGGTCTTAAACAGGAAATGACCTAAACAACCCAAATAGTGGAATGGATATATTCCCATCAATAGTGGAATGGATATATTCTTGTTTATACATTCAATGGAATACTTCATAGCGATGAAAATGAATAAATATAAAAATTATATAAAAAAAGCAAGAAAGTGTTTTCCATAAATATTTATAGCGGTCACTTGAAAAAGGGGGTTAAGATTGAGAAAGGACACATGAGATCTTCTGGGTTTCTGGCAATGTTCTATTTCTCGAACTGGGTGAGTGTTCACTTTTTAAACGATACATTAATATTTTATTACTTTTATGTATAATTCGTAATAAGACAGAAAAAAGCTGTCAGTAATTACAGTTTTTCTTCTATCACACTCCCTACTCTGACAGGTCATGTTCTTCAAACTGACCATCCAGTCCTAAGATACATGTTCATTCATTCATTCATTCATTCATCCAATCAACCATCGATATTTATTGAACACCCACTGTAAGCCATGAACTGTTTAAAACACTAGGAACCCAGAAGTGGAACAAGACAGACATCTTGTATTTCAGGTTGAAGAGACAGGCAGTAATTAATATACCAAAAAAATTAAAAGATAATTTCTAAGGATACTAAGTATTTTGAAAATAAGATAGAATTATAAGAGAGGGTGACTGATGAGAAAGAGTAACTGAGTTGAGCTATTTTTAGATCGAGTGGTTAATGAAGTCTTCTGTGAAGATGATATTTGAGAAGGTAACTGACTTGTAGTAGGTGGAGTAATGGGCAGTGTGAAGTTCTGGAGGAACAATATCTCAAATAAAGAAAGAAGTTGTTGCTGAGGTTCTTAAGTGGGAAAGTGAATTTTTTTTATTTTTTTTTTTTTTAGGCGAGGCAACCCTTGGTTGACCTCAGAGATTGCAAGGACCTTGTCAATTTGCAATCCCTTATTTTTTAATTTTTATACCTACAGCATCTGGTCTTCCTAGGTGGTCTCCCATCCAGGTACTAACCCATCCACAACCCCGCTTAGCTTCTAAGATCAGCCTGGATGGGGCTTGTTCAGGGAAGCATGGCCATACACTGGGAAAGTGACATGTTTGAGGAACATTAGAAAATAAAGGCATGGCTAGTGTGGAGTGAATGAGGTGAGGTTAGTGCAGTAGTTTGTCCATCATGGAGGTCCTTGTAGATCATGGGAAGAGTTTGGTTCTTTTTCCTAAGTACCATGAGAAGCCATCAAAAACACTGCTATTGTGTAGACTCTAGGAGAGAAGGCATGTGGCATGGAGACTTATTTAGGCAAGAGATGATGGTGACTGTGAGGTGGAATTGGTGAGAAATGGATTCAGGATTTATTTGAAGATAGAGTCAAGAATATTTGTTAATGGATTAGATGTAAAGAGTGAGGAAAGGAGAGACTCAAGGATGGTTCGTAGGTTTTTGTTCTGAACAACCAAGGGGATAATGGGCATATTTGCTGGGATGAGGAAGACTAGAGAGTAAGAAACTTGGATCAAAAATCTTGTTAAGGCTTTGTTAAATTTGAGATGCCTATTAGTCACTCAAGGGGAGATGCCAGGTTGGCTGTTGACTGTCTCTTCTTCACAGTATTAATGGGCTGGCTAAGTTAGAGGATATCTAAAGTTCCCTTTGACCATATTAAAAACACCCAACAAATTGCTGATTGATTTAATAAATTAGAATGTACACACACGATGCTATTCCATGAATTGACATGCAAAGACAATAATTTTTAATTGAAAAAAGATTATAAGAGTGTGTATAGTTTGCTTCTATTTGTAAGAATACAATGTATTATAATATATATTTCGTTGGAAGCTCAAGGGAAGATAAACTAGAATATAAGCAGTGGTTACCTCAGGTGCTGGAATTTAGTTTTATTCTTTTTAATCTTATAATTAGTTTAAAACGCCTTCGGTAATTGTGCATTACCTGTGTAATCTGTTTCTTAAAGAAACCGTAAAGGTCTCTTCCAGCTGGCTGGATTATGTGTTAGATGAGGGATGTCAAAGTGATCAGGGTGATGATGGACCAGATGCAAAGCAGGAAAGACCACGAGGCCCCGCCCAAAAGCCAAGGCGTGGGGGCGAAAGGGGCGGTCCAAAGGGCACCGCCCCTGAGCGTCACGTGCCCGCCCTCCTCCAATGGCCGCCTCCTGAGCCCACCTTAGGGACGGGGCGGGGCGCCCAGCTGGCGTCACCAGGACAACGGGCGTTGCCGGCGCCTTGTGACTCTGGGCTGTGGGCGCGCTCGCGGCTCTTCGGCCATGGTGAGTCTGGTACCCGCGTTGACCCGGCCGTCCCGCCCTTCCCAGCCTGGGCTGTGTCGCCGCGTGGCCGCCTGCTGGGTTCGGGCTGGCGGCGCCAGGGTCGCAGAGAGGCCGGGACGCGCGGCCTGTGGGTCCGCGGGGCTGGGCAGGGCTGGGCAGGGCTGGGCAGGGCTGGGCAGAGCTGGGCAGAGCTGGGCGGGCCCCAGGATATGTGAATCCTGGAGGACGCGGAACGCCCGCCTGCCCCGGGGCGACCGCGACGCAGCGTTCTCCGCGGTTGAATGTCTGGGTCACTGCTGGGACCCCCCACACAGTGGACCGCCGGTCAGCGTGACGCTGTTTGGCTCCAGTGAGCCTGGGAAGCCACCCAGAGAGGGTGTGGTTAAAAAAAAAAAAGGATATGTATGAATTTCATATATATTCATATTAACACTATTTTTATTGCAGTCTGTGTGCTTCCTGTCTTGTTTTTATGCAATTTCATATAAGTAGTATAACACATGTGTATTTCTTTCACATTCATCATTCTGACAGGTTTTTCAGCGTGTGGAAATTTAAATTTGTAATTTGGGAGTTTTCTTCTTCCTTTTTAAAAAATGGGGGCATTAAGCGCCCACACTCAGGGATTTAATTTATGGTTAGTACATTGTAAACGTCTTAAATCATTACCTTTATTCAATAAACTTGAGAGTGGGCATACCGTCTGGCTCCCATTAAGCTCGTTTTTAAAATCTGATTTGAACACTCAACTGAGGTGTTGACTTGAATAGACAAGATTCAGCTAATTGCCAACCAAAGGTGTGATTTCTACAGAGGCCTCCAAAGGGTGTAAAAGGAGAGAGGAGCTGGACTTTCTGTTTGTGGACATGTTTGGTATAGGATATTTGAGAGAGGGTGGGTAATGCCTATTTTTATGGAACAGGTTTTGTTTGTTAGTTTTTTTAACTATCAGTTATTTAATGTAGATTAGTGGAAGTGCTAATAAGCTGAGCATGTAGGGTTTTCGGCAAGTGCCAGTTGGCCTTCTGGAGAGAAAACCTACCATTTGCAGCGGTGGCTGGCTCTGTCTTTTATTAACTAAGGAGAGCATGGTAGTAAGGGAAGGTGGATGTTTTGTATTTCTCACTGCCAGATATATGGTGCGTTGGTAACAGGAAAAGAACCACCCATAAATAACACCAATGTTTTCTTTATTTTGTATGTTTCTTTTTAATTCTGAATTGCTTTTAAGTTACAAATTAATGGAGCCAGCAAGAATTTCAGAAAATGAATTTTACAAAAATCTAAGTGTTTTAAATATTGCAGTGACTTATTTTTATATGTTAGGTGTGAGAAAAGCCCTTACAGTTATAGCAAGGAGAAAGGTAGAATATTCAGGAATTAATTTTCACAGCTCTCTGAAGTCTCATATTCCTCCTATTGTCCATTTTCCTTTCTCCTTTATCCATCCCTTCCATTCTGACCCACAGCCTACCTTGATTCAGTATTGTGAAATTTGGAGTTTTATTTACTGTAAAATAAAAACATTTTACTGTAGCTGTGTACTAGGGATTGCTTTGCTAAACTTGGAAATGCTTTGCTTTTTGTGTATTGTTAAGCATTGAGAATTTATTTCATAGAAGGAATTTTGAGTGTATAAGATAATGGGTGGGCTCCAAGGGAGGTGGGGAATGGTTGGCACAGGAGGGGCATGAGGAGGCTCCTGTAGGATCCCCAAAACTATATTCGACACCATAATATTACCCTTCATAAAATGCTCGCATTTAAACATATGGCTTTAGCAGTTGATTTAAATGACTTTGCACATGAATTTTGAAAGTCTGTTTATTTCTCTATGAAAAATTTTTCAGTTAAGCCATTTTATTTCTACTGTCTCTATAAAAATGACAGCTGACATTTACTTTGTACAGTCTACAGTTGAGGTATTTTTCTAAGCACCTTATTTATGTATCTTATTTAACCATCACAACAACCCTGTGAAGAAGATATCATTTTCCCATTTTAGAGATGAGGAAATTGAGGCACAGAAAAGTAAAGTAACTTGCCCAGTTACTTTACTTTTGAGCCAGATTTCAAAAGAAGGCAGTTTGCCTCAGGATCTGCCTTATATAAACACTGGATTACACTGTAATGTGTAGTATATCATTATATGTTCCCCAATATACTTGCCATGTATAGATTAGGATATTAGTGCTTTTATTTCGATTTTAATGTTTTTGAGCACTTATGAATACTCGTTTTTGTTGTTCCTGGCACTAGGCTAGATGTTATGGAATAGAGTAGGAATGCCTAGTCTTTCTTCCTTTTCTCTCCCTCTTTCACAAAAATGACATGAAGAGGACTTGATGCACGACATTATTGGATTAGGGGTCATACTAATGGCTGTAATAGTATTGAAATTTTCTCCTGTCATATCATTTTGTGTTCAGGAATAGACACTTACTTTTTTTAATCACAAAGACCAGTGTTTTACATAAAACCATTTAGACGTGGGGGATGAAACTAAAAAATTTTTTATTTTCTGAGATTTTTCCTAATAGTAATTTTTACATTTATTTTAGTGCTATGTTTTAAAATTGTTGCAAAAAGACATCAAATAATTATTTAAATTTTAATTCATATGGATCAAAATATACATTGGGATACTTATTGTCAAGTTTTTGTTATTGCTTAAAACTTTAGCTCATAAGGCAATTTAATTTTTTCGAAATATGAAATATGAAAACTCTATCATACAGTTTTCCCATTCTCATTAATTTGGTCTTTCCCCTTATTTTGGCACTTCCCTTTCTGTATTGGTGTTGAGAAGCACAAGGTGGGGAGAAAACTTTACAGTAAAATATATCCAAGGTTTACAGACAGTTTTGGTCTATTTGCCATCACATGGTATAGTTAAGGGAGCTTATATAATGAGATCTGTGTTAATAGATCATGCAAAGAAGAGGTTTCTCTCTGTATTAATTTCTTACTCTTGACACTGTTGATCTCCCTTTTGTCTGCACTGGGTGGGAGGATGGAGCATAATTTTTGGTACTTAATTGTAATAACTCTCCTTTCATAGAGCCCTTCCACTGCCCCAGTTTTAAGCTGATCACATCTCATTTAATCCTTCTGACACGAGATTGACATTATACCCATTTAATAGCCCCAGATTGATTAGGCAGTTTGCCCAAGGTCACATAGTTGGTGAGTGGCAGAGCCAGGACTTGAACTCAAACCAGTCTGTCTCCAGCGTCTGGCCTCTTAACCATTACACCGTGGCTTCTTTCTGAACTAAAGATTGTGCCCAGTGCCTGGCGTGAGTGTACTACACCAAGATTAAGAGTCAGTGTCATATTAGCTGAGCCAGTAAGCTCTTTATTTTATGACAAACTCTCCATTTGCGTTGTTTAATGACATCCTGCAGGATTTACTTGGCTAACCGCCCACCCCGCCCTCCTCCCAGCACAGACAACCAAAGCTCAAATATGGGCAGCCATAAATTGAACTATACTTTTACCTTTGCCTTCTCTGCCTCCTTTTGTGTCTCACCGCCACCTTGTGTAGTGTCTTCCTCAGCCACTACCACTTCCAGCACTGGGGTGGCTATGAGAGAGTTGGGACTGGAGCAGAGGGGTCTAGGGAAGCAGAACAGGGCAGTCATTGGGGAAGTTTTTGTGGAGTCAGAATCAAGGTTTAAACTCAGCTTTTCCAATTCTCAGTGCTGCCCCTGTAATTGTGTCTTTCTATTAAAATTTCCTCCCTATGGTTTTCTATGCAGCAGATATTTATAGTGTACTACTTTGTGCCAGTCACTGATCTAGGCAGTGGGTATCCAGCAGTGAATGAAACACAAGCCTGCCCTCATGGAACTTACATTCTAGTGGCAGGAAGACATAATAAAAATACAGGTAAGGTGATGAAAAGTGCTTTAGAGAAAAGGCTGAGTAAGAGAGAAAGGACATTTTCGGGCAGAGTGTGAGAATGGATGAGAGGAGGGAGGAGTTGTTTTTTACGTAGGGTGTGAGGGAAGGCCTCTCTGATAGGTAACATTTGAGCAGAAGATATTTCATGGGAATGCCTGGAGAGAGTTCCAGGAAGGGACACGAGTACAAACGTCCTTACGCAAGAACATGCCTGGTGTGTCAGAGGAAGAGCAAGGAAAACAGTGCAACTAGAGTGAAGTAAGACAGGGGAGTATGATAGGAGGTGAGATTAAAGTAGTCAGGGAGGATGTGGTTCCACAGCGCAGCGGTTAGCACATCTGCTTTATACACAGAAACTCGTGGGTTCGATCCCCAGTGGAACCAGGGATTGTACATTCTCTGTTATCCCCAAAGTAGTCAGGGAGGCCCTATCACATAGGATTTGTAAGCCACTTAAAGGACATTGTCTTTTTCTTTGAGAGAGGGGGAGGTGATTTGCAGGGTTTAAGATGAAGAATGACATAATATGACATATTTCATAAAAGGACCATTCTGTTCGCTATGTAGAAAATACAAGTGGGGTAGGAGTGAGGGGAGAAAGGACAAAAACAGAGGAAACCACATAGGATGTTATTATTGCAGTGATACATAGGATTAACTGATGGATTGGTTGTGGAACATAAAAGTCAAGGATAGTTTCAATGGTCTGAGCCTGAGCAATAGGAAAAAGTTGTCATTTACTGAGATGAAGACTATGGGAAGGGTAGTTTAGGGTAGGGATGAAGAAAGCAGGAGTTGTTTTTGTACTCAATAAATTTGTGATCCTTATTAGACATCTAAAATCTAAATTCATCTAAAAACAATTATGTTTTAAGAAACAGTGTGATAGTATATATTTTAGTAACACAAACTTCATTAAATTCTGAAGTATTAGACTTGGGTTTTTGTATTAATCTCTTCATTTTACAAACTAGAAATACTGGAGGTTAAATGACTTGCCCAGAGTCAAATAGCTTTTACTACCTGTCATGTGGTACAAAGAACTCTAGACTTGGAGTAAAGAGATAAAAGTTTAAATTGTAGTTTTTCTGTTTT